GTAGAGCTACCGGGTGGTGGGCTTGTAGAAGTTGTGGACGTCGTGGGTGCTGTGGAGCTGGTCGGTGGTGGACTTGCGGAAGTTGTGGGCGTTGCGGGGGGTGTAGAAATGGATATTGTGGTGCTCGCCACGGGCACACATGTTTGACATACATATTTTGTTCCGTACATATCCAGCTGCCAGTCAAGACTCCCGGGGAGGGGACAGCCTCTTGAAAGCGTCATGGTAGCTGCATAGTTGCCTAGGGAGCTGCAGGTAGCCAGCTTCACTCCGTCGTTCTCATTGTATAATCCGAGACCGTCCGTGAAGTTATGATCCTCCGGAAGCGCACAAACCTCATGCTTCCTTACTTGTCCATTATCCTAGGAGAACCACAAAGGGAACCTTTCGGGATTTGTAAAGGGAGTAAAGAATCACAGAAAGGTTGGTTGGTTACCTACTTTTCGTCTGAGTTTCTCTGAAAGGACAAAGCCTGTTGGGCACTCAAGGGATGCGGTGCATTCGGTGCCCTCGCAGCTGGCGTTGGCAGTTGTGGGGCTGCTGGTCGCAGGAAGGCTGTCGGAAGTTTGCTGACAGGTGGCGCAGTCATAGAGAAGGTACTTCGGGAAGTCAGTATTGAAGGCCCACGCAGGACCCTTGAGCGAGCTGCAATCATCACCTGACGAAGGATATGGCGTCGCCAGGCTGAGATTTAAGTGGAAGCCAACGGGGCAGATGTACGCGCAACCTGACCAAGCCTCCTCCCGGGTGCAATGCGTCCTTGCAGGCAGCACCAGCGAACCGGACTTGGATGATCTCGCTACGTACTGCAACAGCAAGTTGCCCCCATTGCAGCTTGGCCCGTTGCAATGCCGCGTCTTCGTGGCATATGCCAGGACGAGGCACTGCATGAAACAGAAGAACAGTGCCATGCCAAGTGCTACTCAGCTACTCCAAAGCTCCCCGCCTTGTACCGTGAGCACAAAAAATCAGGCGTCGTAGCTCAGAACAGAACGTGTCATTGGTTCAGAAGCTCCGAATCCGGAGCTCGGATCCCAAGGTTTTTGATGACGACTATGACTAGGAAACTCCATTCCAGGATCAGCGGCCTCCGGTTTCTGTGGCCGCCCTGCGGGGGACGCCTCGCTGGCGCCCTCCGCCGAAATCTCGCCTTGAAGGGCTTATAAGGGGTTTTGGGTTTAGAGGCTTAGGGGTTTTGGGTTTAGAGGTTTAGGGGTTTTGGGTCTAGAGGTTTAGGGGTCTAGAGGTTTAGGGCTTTAGGGTTTAGAGGTTTAGGCTTTAGGGGGTTTAGGGTTTTGAGGTTCAGGGGTTTTGGGTTCAGAGGTTTAGGGTTTGGGGGTCTAGAGCTTTAGGGGTTTAGGGGTTCAGGGTTTAGAGGCTTAGGCTTTAGGGGTTTATGGTTTAGAGGTTTAGGGTTTAGGGTTTAGGGGTTTAGAGGTTTAGGGGTTTAGGGGTTTAGGGTTTAAAGATTTAGGCTGTAGGGGTTTAGGTTTTAGAGGTTTGGGGTTTAGGGTTCAGAGGTTTAGGGCTTCGGGTTTGGAGGTTTAGGGGTTTAGGGGTTTTGGGTTTAGAGGTTTAGGGCTTCGGGTTTAGAGGTTTAGGGGTTTTTGGGTTTAGGGGTTTTGGGTTCAGAGGTTTAGGGTTTCGGGTTTAGGTTTAGGGTTTACGGTTTAGAGGCTTTGGGGTTTAGGGCTTAGGGCTTAGGCGTTTCAGGGCGGTTTCCATAGGTTTCATAACGGAAATTTCGCGGTTTGTAAAGCTGTCCCAAGGGCTCTATAGGGGACGGCGACTTCTAGTAAACAGAACAAAACCGTTCTCGTAACTTGTATAGTACGCGTTATTACTAACCTCGAAACCGTTTACAGGAGCAGCTACAGCAACACTTGTATAAGCCCTTATAGTACCCCGCATAGAGCCCTCACAGTACCCTATTAGAGCGCTCAAAAAATCTTTGAGACCATTTGAATGACGGGCTCTGGGCATCAACACCACCTGATCAGTAAACCCTAAACCCTAAACCTTAACCCTAAACCCTAAACCCCTAAACCCTAAACAGCAACGGCACTCCGCGCCTGGCAGCTCGGATTGGTGGCGCTTGCCTCAAGCAGGAGTTTGGGGTTTAGGGTTTAGGGAGTTTAGGGTTTAGGGTTTGAGGGTTTCGAGCTTAGGATTGAGGGTTGAGGTGTAAAAGTTTAGGGCATTAGGGCCTTAGGGTGAGGCTGTGGGGTTTAGGGTTGAGGGTGCAGGGGTAGAGGTTTAGGGTCTTCGGCTCTCGCATGAAGGATTTAGGGTCTGGCGTTTAGGGCTTGTAGGGTTGAGGGCGTCGGCTCGATGGCAGTCCAGTCTCAACATGCAACCCCGGAACTATGACAGCGAGAATGGTAGTAGGAACACTTTTTCGGGTTTAGGGTTTAGCGCTTTAGGGTATTGGGGGTTAGGGTTTGGGTATTACGGATTAGGGTCATGAGGACTAGAAAGGACAATGACACTGAAAGCCAAAAACGAACTTTCATGTAGATACAGGAACCGCATAAGGACCGCACTTTTGTGCTTGTGCTTCTTCTTGTGCTTCCTCCTGCCAGTGTCCTGCAAGGCACCGGCATGCATGTATGTGGCCGGATGGATGCTACGAGTACTTACACAGCTTCTCACAAGCAGAATGTCAACAAGCATGCACGGCATCATACCTTTGAAGACTACATATCTATCTATCTATCCATCCCTAAACCTATGTTCTAGTTGGGTCCTGCAGCCCCCATATTGAACGAACGGAGAAATCCCTAAGCTTTCAGCCCGGTGCCCGAAAAGCCTCCCCTGTGGACGGTGAGGCGGCATCGGGCCTCGGCCGCAGGAATGTAACGGCGCTTCGGATGTAAGGTTTAGGGTTTAGGGTTGAAGGTTTGGGATTTAGGGTTTAGGGCTGAAGGTTTAGGGCTGAAGGTTTAGGGTTTGTTCCACTTGGATTTTAAGAGGGCCTCTATAGGGGTAGGGGTCATAGGATTTAAGGGCTTGTGGAGGGCGTGCAGGTCTGAATGGTTTTTTGTACGGTTTGATGGAGTTTACGGAATTCAATATGGGTTTAGTACAGGGGCATTAGTGCTCAAAATGGGAAGTGGTTTAATTAGGCACTGCGGGAGAATGCTGCTACTACCAACAGGCACTACTCCCTTGGCACATGGGCATAATGTAGGGGCCTGAATAACTAGAACAGGGTTTTGGTTTTGGGGTACATTCCATTGTAAGGTATATGTCATATGTAGCAACGCTCCGAAGCCCTGTTCCCGCGTGCGCGGCAGGACGAGCAAGCGCTTGGTACTGTAGATAACACGAAGAACACAACATTGTTGTTGATTTGCGTGGGTGTGGACATGATGCGTTTCTGCGTCAAAACGCGTTGAAACTCGAAAAGCGGGTTCGACGCACCTGCCAGCAAGAGTATTTTGAAGCCAAGAAGATGCCTACATCGTGAATTTTGTTCGGTCTGTTCATTGGTCATGGACGTAGCTTTGTCAGGAAGTGCCAAACCCTCGAGGAATTTGAGCTTTCGACATGGCTAGAACAACAAGACATCAAGACAGTGGCAAAAAAACAGGAAAAATGCAGGAGCATTTCGCATCGTAAAAACAGGGATGCGAAGGCCCTTGAGCATATGACGAGGTCATAATATGTGGTGCGTGCCGAGAACTCGAACAACCCGCACATCAAAGCGGCTGCTCTCATATTGATCCTACAGTCAATGCTCAGAACCCAAGGCCCCACAAGAGCTGAAAACGGAGTTTTAGGGATTTAGGGTTTAGGGTTTAGGGATTTAGGGTTTAGGGTTTAGGCTTTAGGCTTTGGTGTCTGCTGTCTTGGATTTAACGCCGCCGGAGTTTAGAGACTTGGCTTCAAGGAGAGGCAAGGGTTCGGGTGTTGGGCTTTCGGTTCCAAGCTTTCTTCGGCCCTGGGGCTTAGGGTTTAGGGTTCAGGGTTTAGGGTTCAGGGTTCAGGGTTTAGGGTATAGGGTTCAGGGTTCTCTTCGGCGTTAGAGCTTGCAGTTTGGGGATCCGGGCTTTGTTTTCGGGGGATCTGAGACACGCAACCCTAAACCCATAGGCCCCTAAGTAGCTCCTTTTTGTGGCTCATGTTTAGAATCCTATAACTATAAGGTAATCCCCAAAAAGGAACTACTTCGGGGCCTATGGGTAAACCCCTAAACCCTAAACCGTGGAAACCCTACACTGCTAGTCAGAATGAAGGGCCTCGCTACAAATTTTAAGCAGGCCTGCAGCGCTAAGCCCCAAAACCCTAACTCCAACTCTAAACCTCGGGTCCAACATCATCATGTAGGGGCCTTCATACCTAGAATCAGGTTTTGGGGCCCTTTAGAGCATAATTGCACTAAGGAGCCCCCAAAAGCATGGTAATTATTAAGGCCTCCATATTAACCCCGCCAGCTGTACATGGCTCCAGGATCTCAATACAGTAGGACATACGTCGGCTAAAAAGCAGGACAAGCCTCCTCATGATCCTAGGGTTTAGGGGTTTTAGGGTTTAGTGTTTAGTTTTGTTTTTTTTTTATGTGCGTGTGTGTGTGTGTGTTGGGTTTAGGGTTTAGGGTCTTACTTACTTGCCAGTCCCACCCCGCCCCCCCCCGGAACTTTCAAGTAAACCTTTACTTTGAGACAGTCCCGCTTCTCTGCTACTTCATGTCAACCCGGCAGCCCCACCTCATGAACACCTAAAATCTCTGATGAAGCCCTCATAGAACCCTCTATCCCCCTGCAAAGCCCTACCAAAACCCGTAGACGACCTCAAAGAACGCAAGAACTCCTAAACCCAAGACCCTCAACCCAAAACCCGTAAACCCTAGAGCCATTAGCTCTAAAAACCAAACCTAGCCCCTCTGAAAGCTCAAGGCTAAGCCCGAGAGCCCCGGCGACCGCGACTCGGCGGCAGGCGGCGGCGCTTCGCGAATCACCTTCGGTCTTCTGACTGGTTCTTAGTAGGGAATGGAGGAATGGGTGTTTGGGACTACTATAGGGGACCTTAAGGGGCTATCATAGGGATCCATTCCCCCATTCCCTACTAAGAACCAGGGAAGTCTTCAAGTCTTGGGGTTTAGAATTTGGGCACGTAGTTCTCTAAGCTAGGGTCCCTTTTTGGGTCCTCCGTTCTGGAGTCCGGGTCGCTGTGGGAGTGC